TACAACATAACAGTTTAAGCCATTATGAATGTATTTACTTTAATTATTAACACAAATAAAATGCTTTTAAAATAATTTATTGATGGTAAACGTGAAATATATTTATGACATATTTATATATGTACTAGATAGTTTAAGGCGCGGTTTTATTTACCCTCACTGCCTCCTAGGACACAAAAACATCGGTTTTTTCATGGTCCTTCGAGCCAGATAGCGCAGTCGCACAATCCGAGGGCACGTGTAAGTGCAGGTTATTTTTGTTTGGAGAATCACTTATCGATCGCTGTTGCAAACATGACTGGTGGCTGCATCAGTGCACTGTCAGGACCACGAGCTGGAGATACTAGCTAGTGGAGGATACGAAGGTGGAAACTTGCTGCTGATGAACCATTGGAGCAGTCGGCGAGGGCGGATAATCGGATTTGGAAATCATGCTAGACAAGGATGGCATAAGTTGTAGTATTGTGTATGTGTGAGTGAAACAGGAAATTAACTGTGAGTAGTTTTATTTTTAACTTTATTCATGAAGATCTTAACTTTGAAACTAATTTGAATTTTTAATACTTAAAGATTTTACTTAAATAAATTTAGGTGACATATACTTTTGGTCAGTTGCACAAACGTCCATTAAGGTTTAATGATGACTTTAAGCTCTAATAACGTCAAATTTGTGTGGGCAATGTCGCTTTAAACCAATAAATATTTTAATGGATATTTGGACTGGCTATTAGAATAATCTGTTCTGTTGAGTTAGTGGCTTATAATAGTTTTAATAAAAACGAAGGTACGGGGAACCTATGCCCGATTTCGGTCAGAAACATAAGAGGTTAAAAATTGTCATTGTAGATTTATATGAAAGAGAGTATATCCCGCCAGCTCGATGCGTACCTTCGAGCTGTGAGTTTTGCGATCCACATGTTAATATTACTCATTTTGGAGTAAAACTATCAAGTAATATCGAATACTGAGCTTTACATTGCTGGGGTGAGGCGATAGACGCCCATGGTGAAATATTGGCTTTTGATAGGTTCTGACATAAAGGCCTCCTCTGTAAACTTCCTTTTTACAGACTCTCTGACTAATTCTATACTTGGATCACCGGCTTCCTGACTGAGCAAAGAATACTTGTCCTGGTGGTAGTCGGACTTCGCAATTTAAACCAGTAAATGTCGGGGTTCCACAATGTTCGATACTTTCACCCACATTATTCCTTCTGCATATCAATGACATGTTACCTTTGAGCCTCGTTCATTGCCTTGCAGACGATAGCACTCTGCAAGGCACCGACACCAGCAAACCATCGAGTCGCATGGGACCAACGATGAGGAATCGTGAAATTTTCGCGTGGAATTAAATCGGTGTTTGGACTGCATTTGCAAATGGGGTTTAGACAACCTGGTTGAGTTCAACGCCAAGAAAACACAAGTATGCGCTCTGTCGTCTAAGACCTCCCCTTTTTCCCTTCTTCCCATACCTCACAACAAAAGATAGTCTCAACATCCTGGGCATGAATATTCGCAGCGACCTCTACCCAAACGACCACATTTAAAGCGTAATAGTTGCTGCCTCTCGCAGACTCGGAATATTACACAGAGTGCGCCGTTTTTTTTTACACCCGGGCAACTAGATATTAGTTTTAATGTCTAATAAACTTGTTTAGACACCAATCAATATAAAAACGGACACCGAGGGTTCCGTAGTTAAATTTTAATATCTTAGAACGTATCCAATACTTACTTACTTACTTATAATATGTACTTTGTCTTTGTTGTCATTTTATGATGGTTGTATGAATGACAAAGTAATATTTGTGGTTTTAGTAAATGTAGTTTTCGAAAGTGTACATTGGGGTCCACAGCATATTTTTAATCTTCAATTATAAAAGTTAGGGGGGAAGAGAGTTTCTCTCACATTTCATCTTTTTGGAAGTAACGATGAAATGGGTAAAAGATCCGCCTGTTAGCGGTTTTTGTATTAACTCTTGATTTTTATAATGACATATCTACATTAGACATATTTACACCCGCGAGCATAGTGCAAATAAGTACGGTAATCGCTGCATTCCGCATTCGGGCCCTATCAATCAATAAATATATGTGTTTGCACTAGTCAGGAAACCAATGACAGTCATTGAACGTCTAATAAAATATAGAACAAAAATCGTCGTATTCACACCACATTCTCATACATTCATACACATAAACCAATAACAGCCAATAATCGCCTACTAAAAATAAGCATAGGAATCGTCCGCATTCCATGGACCAATGTAAATGAGCTTGAACTAATCTGTAAACCAATGTTCGTATAATGATAATAAGCATAGAAATCGCTGCACACTGCGTGCGGCACCGCATGCTCTATCAACCAATGTACATGACCTTTTAGTAGTGGATTAACCAATGACAGGCAATTATCGCCTACTGAAAATAAGCGCAGAAATCTCCGCATTCCGCATGCGGGCCCTATCGATCAAAGTAAATGAGCTAGCACTAGTCGATATATGAATGACAGTCAACGACCGACTAATGAAAATAAGCACAGAAATCTTCCACACTCCGCATGTGCCCTTTCGATCTATAAAAATAAGCTTGCATTAGTCGATAAATCTTGAAATTCTTATAGATTCGTCAACGTCATGTTTGTCGGTCTGTGCGTCCGCCAGTACCTCACAGCCACTTTATTCTAAAACTATTAACATATTATGTAATGTAGATAGTTAATATGTAATAAGTAGGTATCTCTTTTGGTATGTATTGTGCTTAGGCTGAGGACCTACTTAATATATTGAGACTTTATAAATAGATGCATTCTATTAAACACTTTAAGAATTTTTCGTTTCCTTATTTGAAAATATTTTATTAGGGTTTTTCATTGTTGTAATTAATACATAGGAACATTAATGATAGAATATTTTTAGTGCCCTTAATCGAGTAATAAACTCTTTGCTTAGGAAAGCTTAACCCCATTGCTTGAAAAATAACAAATAAATTAATATGTTATTTACTAAAAACATGCAATTATAAACCTAACTGGGAACTGGCAATCACTTTTTCATTTCTTTCTAAAATGTTTATTATTTTTTTCAAAGTGCTGTTGGTTATTAATAAAAAATATGTATATGATAAAACTAAGTTAAAGCGGTCTTTTTCAGATTTATCAAATGTAATGTGAGTTATATATCATGGCAGAATTTATAATATAAGTAGCTACAATTTATAAAGAAATTTTATCAGTTACATTTCAAAATATCTCTTCAGTCAGTCTATGATGATGATGAGCTGATAAAAGAGATAACATAAGAGCTATATTGCAAAACGGACTTCAGTGTGTAGATAGTGGCGGTATAGAGTCTCTTCGTTATTAAGTCTACGTTTTTGGGTCGCTCTCAGTTTTTTAACTTAAATATTAGATCAATTTGTCAGATATAAACTGCCTAAGACACTGCAACTAGGACAAGAATAAGGACGTGTTTCCATTTTGTCGTGACGATCGATATAGATTTGAAAACTCGTGATTTTTTATTTAAAACAGTAGCGCGGTGGCGTAGTGGATAAGCGCCGCGGCCCGCAAACGTTGTCGTTAAGCAACTTTCGCAAGGGTCGTTCACGGGATGGGTGACCAAAAAATTATTATCACGAGCTACTCCGTGCTTCGGAAGGCACGTTAAGCCGTTGGTCCCGGCTGCATTTGCAGTCGTTAATACCCTCCAATCCGCATTAGGCCAGCGTGGAGGGTCATGACCCATCCTCCTTAACCATCCATAAGGAAGGCCTGAGCCCCTGCAGTGAGGACGTAAAAGGGCTGATGATGATGTTTTTTTTTTATATTCAATTTGTGACATTGGCATAAAGGTCCTTCTGTTTTGAAGACTTTTTACATAGATTTTCAAGACCATATGAACAGTTATTACGATAGTCATACAAGAATTGACCGAGTGTAATGAAATATATAGAAATAGTTTATTGTTATACGCCCACTGTAACAATATTATCCGTTTATCGAGTTCTTTATTATTATTTACTCTGTTACTTCATATTAATTACTAATTATTTGTTCTAGTTAGTCAAAGTTCTCATATTATTGGTGATTAAGATAAGGAATGTTAGTTAAATAAAAAATGTACATTTGTTAATATTATAAATAACTCTAAATGCTTATTTAAATAAACGTTGAATAACAAGTTCAATATAATACACACGTATAATTTAAATTCATAAAAATTATGTTTAGTTTGTGAATTTATTAAATTAGTATTGTAGTCACTATGTTGAATTAACTTATAGGTTGTCAATCCCTTAATATTTTGAGATCATAGTGGCTTACAACTTGCCTTTATATGTTATTTATAAGTAGCGAGTAACCAAAGTCATAGAGTGATTATTATTACATACCTTCAATGTTTCGACACTGTGCTACTCTCGAGTTTAATATTCCAGTCTATAGATAATTTATTATTGACAACATTGATATGAGACTACTTCAGAAACTCAAGATTAGATGGTGTTTATACCTAGAGAACACGAAAGTAACATAAATCTCTCGCGAACACATTTTATGAAATACAACTGAACATTTTAAGAGGTCATGTCTTGGAAAATGTTTCGGAATATAAAACAGCATATGAGTTTTTTGTAATGTTCCTAAAAGGGAACTTTACTTATAAAGCTGCAACCTACGAAGTGTGAGTACCTAGTTCATAATTGGGATTTGAAAAATTTTGTGTTGATATTATTAAATTAGCAGAAACAGAATTATGTATATGATAAATGTAACCTAAAAATAAAACTTTATGACAATATTAGTTATTTTTATTTCTATATCGGCGGTATTTTGGACTTTCATTTCGGATTTTATATAAAGAATATTATTAACCTTGAACGTAATGTCTCTGTGACATTGAATAATTTATGTTATTATCGTAATGTTAAAAATTGTTACATAACGAGGTGACATTTAAGATCCAAGGATAAACTATAAATAGAGATATAACTCAATACTATAAATTTGCTTAGTAAATCATTTATTTTTAATATTTAATCTTGACATAAACATTTTTAATCATAGTTACCGTGGTATGTCTGCTGAAATATCAGCAATAATATAAGCGACTGCAGTCCAAAAAGCAGTCCCTAAATCCAATTCATGCTCGTCCTCTACATTCATCATGTCACCTTCGGTGTGATGGAACCAAAAATATTTACCATTATCATTATGAAGGCTAGCGCCAGGAACACCAGTTTTAATAATTACAGCTATATCAGACCCAGGACTGTCATCTTCTACTAAAGTTGAAGCATTTATAGATTTAAACAACTTTAATACTTCAGCTACAATACATCTAGCTTCTTTATTACCAGCAACTGCTAAACCAAGGGGAGCAAATGTACCTTCATCAGATTCCATAATGAAGTTGATATTATGATTTTCATCTCTATGTTTTTCTTCATAAGCATATGCTCCTACAAGACCTAATTCTTCAGCGGTCCAGAAAATAGATCGGATTGTTCTCTTCGGCTTTAAGTTTAAACGTTTAAGGATAACGGGGACTGCCCAACTAATAAATAAACCACCACCGTCATCCATGGCTCCTTGTCCGACATCCCAACTGTCAATATGACCCGATACGATTACTAGTTTTTCAGGATTTTCTGTACCTTTGTAGTCAATTAAAGTATTTCTTGATATTTTAGTATCATAAGTTGAAAACATTTTAATGTTCAACACGACCTTTTCGCCTCTATTATAAAAACGGCGAATCAAATCAGCATCTTCAAGTGTAATAGCCGCTGTTGGAATTTTAGTCACGTTTTCTCCATAGTTCTGGCTTCCAGTATGAGGTGAGTTGATTGAGAAAGGAGCGATAGACCGTACTAAAGATGCTACTGCCCCTTTGGCGGCTGCCTTAGTAGCACCTTGTGTTCTGTATGTAACTGTTTCACCATATGATGTGAAAACTGGATCGTATAAAACTATCTTTCCTTCGATATCATTATCAGAAAAAGTATCTAACTGAGCAAAGCTATTAACAACTACTACTTCAGCTGTTACACCTTCAGGTGGAGTACTAACACTTCTACCTAAACCCAAGACAGCGATATTTTTAACTCTTGGTTCCAACATAGTTACTTCTTCCTGTCCTCTTGTCCATTGTGGGACCTGTATACGTAAATATTTCATTTATAGTTAATTATTAATAACAATACAATACAATACTTTTTTGCTTTATTCAATTTAAGAAAGCTTACCTCTAATTCTTCAGTGGTGATGTCATCAATACCCTCATCGCGAGTTAATTGGATCATATAATCTATCGACTGTTCTAATGTATCTGTACCAGATGGCCGTGCTCCGAATTTGTCCACAAACTTGGCTAGCCTGAAATATGATCTCAATTTTTTTCGGAACTAATAAAACATTATTTTCTTATTAATAAAATCATGTTACGGAACCCTAAATTCCGTACCCTAAAAGGAAAAAAGAAGCGAACCTCCTTTTCATGTTCGTTTGTCACTCAAGACCCTTTTGTTCATAAAAGAATGGAAATATCTAATTAAAATGAAAATCATATACTCAGGTCTATAGTTACTTAAAGCTGTGTCAATGAAACTTCTAAATTAACATGACAATATAAAGGAAATCTACGCCACATAAAACGTTTATTTTGAAACTCTTAATTAAAATTACTTAATAAATAATAGATTTTAAAAAAGTATAGTTTTTTTTGAAGTTCAAAAATCTAAACTTGAATACCAACGCCAGGTCCGGTAGGATTAAAAATATAATATTGGGTGTGTACCCAATAATACATTTTTAAGCATTAACTATTGATCATTCATGCCATTATTCTTTGCCTCAAGTGATGGTAGCTAGCCAGTTGTTTATTAAACCGGAAATGTAAAGTCTCAATTAATTTCTCTCTTCGTCGACTTTCAGAGATGGCTTGTTTATAGTTTTTATTATGCTGTCAACAGGCATTACATTCTAGTTGTGTTTTTTAAGAATTAGAAGAATATTAAATTGCGAAGTTACAGATAACTAGAGAAATATAATTTCTGCTCTATGCTTAGTCAGAAGATGTCTATTTTTAATTAACATAGCTATATAAATGATTTTCCTACTCTCCACAAACTAATTGTTTGTTTTTAAATGTATAAAAAGTTTTTCTGACTATATTTATTACTTACTCGTCATAAGTTTTCGTTTTAAAATCACCGACTAAGACATAATTCAGTATATTGTCTCTGACTTCTGAATATCCAGCTATCTCTTCAATAAATGCATCCCCTAAAAGAATTCGACATTCTTCACTATCCTTGGGTACCACTTTTGCACTAACTATGACTGTGATAACTGAAAACGCGGCTAACAATGAGACAATCATATTGATTGTTGTTTAAATTGCATTTGACAAGTTCTTTATATACCGCTATTTGATTTATCAGCAAAATATTGGGAAGATATTTATCTATCGCGATGTCAATATTCATCTGCTAGAGAGGCATTAGACTTGACAAGCGGTATTGCCTGTCACAGTGTAATAGCTAATCAAGAATAGTATTTGCCTGTCATGAAATTATCTTAAACCACGTATTGCTATTGCACGACGGTAATACCCAAAAGTGCAAAACTTAAGCGCCCGAAAAAAAAATCGTTTATAAATAAATGTCATTAATTAATGTTTTGAGAGAATATTAACTTCGTTAATGAAATACCGTTATTAATAGGATTATTCTCTAAATTTCACAGTAATTAGTGAAGTTTGAGTAAAATTCACTGTAAAGTATTGCCTTTCGAAGTGTGCCTCAATTTTTGAAAGCCTCTGAAGAAGGGTTTGTTTAATTGATTGATTAATAAACAAAGTTAGTAATTATTTTCATCTCTATTCCATCTCAAAACAAAATTAATGGCATAACAACGATAACAATAACGCACAGGAGCCGATCGAAGGTTAAAGTGGGGTGCTAGTTTATCGTAAATAATCTTGCAATACTTTGAAACAAATGAAAAGTATATTTTTTACTAAACAGAAGCAATTTATTCCAATCTTTAATAGTCTATATTTGTAGTAAAGTTATCAGCGCGTTTGGAACTCTGCAGCTGTACTTTGAAATCAATTTTCGATAACATCGTCAGTTTTGTCGTTCTCTGTCCTACTCTACGACATTAATAATAATACGTAGATAGAGCAGGATAAAACAGTTGACGATATATCTAATGTTGTTGTTAAGGATGCAGATATCAGGATTTCAACGAATCTTGACTACGTTGGTGACCTGCTACGCAAACCTTTTTGGCAATCAACATTCAAGATTCTCTGTAAATTGTTTTCAATTATAATTTTAGAACATATGAAAACGATTGTAAAACTTCAGTGAGAATGAAAATTTATGGTTGCGACGATGTGTTTGTATGACCTTTTTTACCTGAATTAGTTTTAATAATAGGTAATAATAATAATTATATTATTTTTAACTTGGGTAACACCTAATACTAAGATTAATTAATTATAACATTCAACACAAGTCCTTCAATTCAAAATTACTGTTCCATAAAATCCTTTTCATCTAACGGTCTTTTGTGACATACGAAATCTTATCTCCAGAATATTTCATATAAAAGGATTATATTGACAACAATACTCACTCTTCATAAGTTTTCCCTTTGTACGGACCATTTACCACATATTCCATTATAGTTTTTACAACGGTTTCGTAAGAAGCTATTTCATCAGCGATGGCCTTCGTATTACATGATTTTGGATCAAAATGATTTTTGATTTTTACAGCACTATTTGCACTAATGTTTGTTATTATTAACAATACTGTAAGAGTCGCAGTCGTATACATTTCACCGTCTAAGTACGCGTTCACGCGATGTAGCTTCGTATGGTTATGTGAACGAATGTTATTAGAAACGAGCGGTGTGGGGTCATTTCGCATGTAAAGTGCGTCGACATTGACCGTGACCGATATTGTGTGACATTGTAAAAGATTTATTTAATATAATAGAATAATAGCCATTAAATGTTATCACATACTTATTACAAAGATAATTTAATTATTTGTTAACGGTTAGTAAATATGCCACATGGAAGTCTAACTTAAAACCAATTATGGTGGTTCTTTGATACAAATATAAGAAATTGATATTATGTATATCAGTATTTATTGAGAATTTTCGAATATATACATTCAATCCTAGCACTAAACGCACAGACCACCTACTCGTATACCTATACAACTTTTTGTATCGGGACACATTGTTTTTATACTGTATTATTTTATTTAGAGAAAAGTTACTTATATACTTATTTAGAAGTCTGCTGAGTTAATCGAACTTCTTTTCATTTCCAAATATTGATAGTGTATTATATTTTAAATTATCTTCTTTTATTATTATTTGCTTCTGTCTGGCCAGCGTGGCGGTCGCAATTGATTTATGAATACGAATCTAGAGTAATTTTGTAACCTGACGACGGAAACTGCACTTTCCGTTGCGGGCCACACAATGGATCATATTTAGCGTTGATTGGGCCATATTCAGAAGTAAATACAACGCTCTGAATGGTCCATATCCGTCCACTGTGATGTTCTATTACAATCGACCTTATTAATTCAAATCATGACGTTCTAAATATTACTTACACTTTTGGGTAACATAGACTAAAAAAAAATATGTGAAAGAAGTCACAAGGAAACAGCTAGTTTCTCAATAAACTATTTTTTTTTAAATTTATTTTTGCAAGTTTTGTATCTGTGTACTAGACAGCATAGTTATATACACAGTTAAATATAAAGGCATACCATTGCTAATTGAAATGTTTTCCCTAAATCCCGTACGTAAACATTATTTTAATTTAACAAGTTAAACATTTGCCGTTAATACTTACTTGTTATTAAAGTCATTAGTTATACTAATTGTTATGAATATACTTTAAGTGTAATTAAAACTGTAACTGTCGGTATAATCTTTTGAAATTTATATGGTAATATTTATAAAGATATCTGTTTTAATGAAATCTACGTGATTTATAAAATATTATTTGCAAACAATTTCACAGAGTTGGATATTAGGCCATAATACTAATAACTTTATTTCCCTTGAGGAACGCGTGATATATCTTACCGAAAAAATATAAAATCTGTTATAGGTCTTTAGTAATATGAAACACTAACGCGCTACGATTTTCCCGCAGAAAATATCTTTTAGGATTCCGTACCCAAAGTATAAAAAGGGGACCCTATTACTATGAGTCCACTGTCTGTCTGTCACCAGACTATATTTCATAAACCATGATAGCTAGACACTTGAAATTTTCACAGATGATTTTTGTTGCCTCTATAAAAAAAAGTAACTACACCACGCGGACGAAGCCACGGCATACAATTAAACTTTGTACATTCAATAGGTAAATTGTTTCTGTTAGAAATAGCTTAAAGTCGTCTTTTTAAGTTTTGATAAGATTTAATTTTTTTTTTTGAATTTTTGTTATATGCGTAAAATACTACTTGGTATTATTACTTAATATAAGGTTTTAATTAGAATCATTCTTTAGAAGAAACATTCTAAATTATAATGAATGTCTTACTTAATCGAAAAGGAAATAAATGTCATCATCTACTCATCAACCGTGTCCGCAATGTTAAGTTGGTCTATGTTTGAACTAAGTTACGTTCGCGAGCCCCGATAGCTATGTATATGTTTATTTAGGACACCAGTACGATGTGAGCTGATAATATTATGTAATCAACATTATCATATCCTTGACTTGGCTAGGATTATGCGTACCTTCGGGTAAGACAAACCCTTAGTGGGGGGTCCGCAATTTTAATGTTAACATAGCGAAATAGTAGTAATAGTAACCTAATGTTTGCATATTGTAAAACGAATATTGTGTTTTGAATTTTAGATCCTACTATGTATAAAACAAAGTTTTGGACGGATGGCGTTTATATGTATTTTTGAACACCCACCATGGACCGAATTAGGTTAAACAAGATTTTGTTTTTTTGTAAATATACAAAAATATTAATAAGATTGCTCATTTTATCAAAAGAACATAAAAACAATAAATTCGATGTTGAGAGAGTTATTAGTTATTTTAATGACCGAAAAACATAGGATTAATATATTGTTCTATAGCGCCTCAATTAACTTTTTAATAAGTGCAATGATGAAGAAACTTTTCCTGATTTAATGAAATATGGTAAAATAATCCCACTTTTCAAGGCAGGCGACAAGCCTGATACCAGTAATTTCAGACCAATTTCTATACTACCAGCGTTAAGTAAAGTATTTGAGAAAATTATTTACAATCAACTGCTTGCACACTTTTGATTAAATACTTCACCAAAATCAGTTTGGCTTTAGCAGAGGTAAATGTACCACAGACGCTGGAATTGCACTTCTGAGGTATATCTGTGATGCTTGGGAGAATAAACAAGATGCTATTGGCATTTTTTGCGATCTATCAAAAGCATTCGACTGCGTTAGTCATGAATCACTGTTGGGGAAATTAGAGCATTATGGTGTGACGAAAAATTCACTTAATCTAATAAAATCATATCTTTCTGCTAGAATTCAAAAAGTAGTAATTAATAAAGCGAAATCTGTAGGGGCACCAGTTACTATGAGCGTACCTCAGGGATCGGTATTAGGACCATTGCTTTTTCTAATTTATATTAATGATCTTCCTCACTTTACGAAGAATTTGTGCGAGACAGTATTATTTGCAGATGACACCTCTTTACTGTTTAAAGTTGAGAGGGGTAATGATTGTTTTGACGATGTAAATAATGCTCTCGATAATGTTCTACAGTGGTTTGATAATAATAATTTAAAGCTCAATTCAAATAAAACGAAATGCATAAAGTTTGCATTACCTAATGTGAGGCATGTCAGTACACTTATATTAATGTAAATAGTGAAAAAGTTGAGTTAGTAGAATCGATAAAGTTCCTTGGTATTACACTAGATTCCCGACTGCAATGGGATCCTCATATTGATAGCTTGTCAAGTAGCATTCAGGATATTTTTATTCTACAAAAGTGAGCTGTCCGTGCTATATATAATTTACGGTCTAGGGAATCTCTTAGAGAAATATTTAAAGAAATAAATATTCTGACTGTTGCCTCTCAATACATCTAAAATAATAATAATAAAAATTGAATTTATTTTCCTCACAAATACAGGAACATGGTGACATGTTTATTGACTAAACACAATTTACAAAAAGAAGATTGCTATGAGAATATTATTTACACAATAAAACATTACGATTTCTTCACAAAAAAAAGTAGTGTTCATAATCTTAACACAAGAAATAAAAATAAACTTGCCGTTCCAAGCTTCAGACTTCAAAAAACCAGAGGATCATTTCTGGGTAAATGTATTGCTATGTTATAATATACTTATGAGTAAAGGCTATTATAAAGTTGATGAATATTTTAAGGACCGCAATGCATGGAATTAATAGCCTTCGCTCTGTTCTATAA